TGTGCACCACAAACCGGTCTGGTGCGCGCTTAGTGTGCTGGTGTAGGCATGTTGCGCGGAGCGGTTACGCTCACTCTGTTCCTACAAACACCTCAATGCTCAGCCGCCTTGGATTGCGAGTATTCAGTTGTAGACCAGTCGTGATCTCAAGCGGATGTGTTGTCCGTAGTAGTTCGTTCGTACGTACGATCGCAAGCCATATGTTCTTGATACGCCAAGGGCAAAGTAAAAGTGGAGAACGCCAAGCCATCAGATTAATTGTTGGCGTTAAGAAGTGACAAATCGTTAGCGTCGCGTTTGATTAAAAATATAAATTGATTACATTTTCAATTAATTTAGTTTGATAAGAAATTGCAATCGCCGCAATTGTGTTACACAAAATTTAACGAAAAAAAAACTGGTTTTGAATTTCTGACTACTGAATTGTTTCGTTTATTCTTTGTTATTGTTGGGAAGTTAATGAGAACGCGTGCAAACTGTCGAATTAGTCATTAATTAAAAATTAATTAAGCAAACAAATTTGCGGACCAACAAAGGTTATATGTATCCCCATTTGGTCGTGCAAAAATAAACAAAAAACCAAAATTAAAACAAATAAAAGTGAAAAAATAAACACAAACCAAACGAAAAAAACCACACCGCAGTGTTCGCCTAATTAGTGCGCGAATTTTTAATTACATTTAACCACAAAGAATACATTCGAAATATGCGGTCCGCGAGGCTAGCCGCCTGTGCTTTGTGAAAGTGTTCCAGCCTGGCCGCCAAACGCTTTCTGATTCATTTCCAATTTTCAATTCAACCGGAAGTGTGCCCTTACGCAACACCTGAATTGGTGGTAGCCATCAGCATTGCCAGCAGCAATCTCGTCGTCATCGCCACCTCGCTGCCCCATGTTAAAGCTGTCATCCACAGGAATGACTGTCACTGGTTTACGCACAAGCATGACAAGCCCGACGGTGCCGCCACAAACCGCATCTGCCGCCATCACCACCACCATGACCCTGACCAGCCCCAGTACGATTGTTGTCAGTCCCGCACACCTTATTAGCGGCAATAATAACAACTCCAATCACAATAACAACAACAGCGCTACCAACAACTTGCACCGCAACGGCAGTAATAGCAGCCCCACATCACCTTCCACGCTCCTGCTTACGCATCAGCAACACCAAACTCTGCAACAGCAATTGTTGCCACTGCATACGCAATCGCTGCACAATCACCCGCATCAGTTGAATAAAACCAGCTCGCGTTTAAGCAATTTCAGCGTCGCTTCCCTCCTGGCCGATACGCGACCAGCGGCAACGCTATCGCCAACGCGCACCCACAGCGCGGAAGCCATGCAAACGGAGCCGCGTAATTTGTCCAATAATACACCATCTGTCACGTTATCACCTGTTTCGCCTGCCGGTTCCTCACCCGCCTCACCGACCGCTGCACAAAACGGCCAAGCGCATCCACCACACGCGCCTCAGCATCCACATCCACATCCCCACGCTCATTTTCATCCTGCAGCCGTTGCACATCATGCACATTTGTTGCATGCCGCCGCAGCCGCACACGCGCAGCAACAACACGCCGCCGCGGTGGCAGCCGCTGCTGCTGCGCAACAAGCTGCAGTAGCGGCGGCGGCAAATGCGGGTGCGCCCCAACATTTGCACAGCTCCTCAGCGCATTTACGTCACACATTAAGCGGCAGCTCAGCGGAAGCGGCCACCAATCTAGTTACCACGGAAGGTGGCAACAATGCGCAACAACAACAGCAGCATTCTTCAGCGCGTCTTGGTTCACCAGCCGCGCATGCAAGCGGCAACAGCATCGAGACATCGTCCTCATCATCGGCAACGGTGTTGCTGGCCAAACATGAACGTCACTCGCCCATCGGTAGTTCGGTGGACTCTGAGCTGGAGTATGATGATGATTACAATGAACATGACCATGATGGAGAGCATGAACATGATGAGGAAGAGGATTCGATTGTGGACATTGAAGATATGAATGCCGACGATTCGCCGCGTTCAACGCCAGACGGTATGGATAGCAGTAAATCGCCGGAGGCGCTAAGCAGTCACATGGCTAACTCACCGCATCTACTCTCGCCGGCGGCGCTGGCGGCTTCGGGTCATGTACCCATCAGACCGACACCGTTCAGCGCGCTGGCAGCGGCGGCGGTGGCGTGGGGCGGCATTGGCGCTGGAGTGCCGTGGCCGGGTGCGCGTCAAATGCCACCATTCGGGCCGCCTGGGCTGTTTCCAGGACAAGGATTCGGCGGAGGTGGTAAGTAAAGCGTATGTTTATTAGCTAATTGGTTAAGTTAGTAGGATTTGTGAAAGCGCGAAAAGCCGACGGGGATATCGAAAGAAGCAGACATACATATGTATGAAAAAACGCTGAACGCTGCGTTAGACATTTCATCCAAAGTTGGATTCTTTGTGCAAGAAGGTGTACCCGAAACTTGTACATATTTTGTTTTTCATTATGAATTCAACGAACCAGAAAAATAAAGAATAAAAAGTTCATTCATGCATATCAGTAAAAAAAACAAAAATCGGTATTGCAAGTTTAATTAGCAAGATTGCTTCAATTTGTATGTGGAAATTTTTATTTTCTTTTGCTTTATATTTTATTTTATATATTTTTGTTTTATGCTGTTCAAGTTTGAGATTTTTGAAAAAAACCAGCCGAAATAATCTTTTCTTTTTAAGTTCGTGTGCTACGTAGATTGCAAACTGGTTTTTAACCGAACCGGTTTTTGAACCGACGGCGACGGCCTTTTACGGGCTTCGGACCGAACCACGAAGCGAACGATTTTTATTTTGAATTGCCAAAACCGAACCGAAAACCACTTAAAAAAATGGTATGGTTCGATTCAAAACCCACTAAAGCGTTCTGCAAGTTTTTTAATATACAACTTTGTCTAAAAAGGCAACCCTATGGTAAAAACTGCTAACATTTTTGAGATTAATAGTATCTATGTGAGTTATAATTTCGTCCATATAAAAAATGCTTGAAATGGTAAAAAAAATCAAAAAACTGCGTACTCGATTTTATTTGAGTTCTGATTAAAAAGTTTGAAACTATAATGTAATTTTGTTGAAGTACTAGTAAGTAATTTTCGTACAAAGTTTGAAATTTGGTTTTATACACTCATAAAAAACATTCCTTGATGCTAGGAAAAAAGTATATTATTCTAAGTAAATAATACCTTAAAATGGCTCCAATGACATGGCTGCCTTAATATGAATAAACGATATGACTCAGTTTATTGAAAACACAATTTCTTAGTTTTTAAGAAAAATTTACTTATAATTTTATCCCCCCGTGAAAGGAATAAGTATGCCATTTTGCTCGTGGCGCTCAAATAGTGAGTCGAGAGTTGCAAGGTTCGAGTCCACGAGCAGGATTTTTTGTTTTTAATGCAATTTTTTGTAATTTATATTTAAATTGAAATAATTGATTTACCTTACTCTAACCACCTCCAACCGGACTGGAACGTGCGATCTCAGAACCAGAAGCAGCAGTCGTCACGCGACGCCTCAGCCGGCATTTGCCGGGAAAGCAATTAACTTTGTCTTAACTGCACTGACTAAATTGAAAATTATCTAGGGAAATGATTACTTATATTTACTTCCTCAAATTAATGATGCCCTATTCTTAACATGAACCTGAATTAAGGAAAAACTTCTCAAATTGAGAAAATGTTTCGTAATATTAAGGAAAAAACAGCAACTCTAAAATAAAGATACTGTTTTCTTGTCTTGAGGAAGTGCTTTTTTCTGAGTGTAGGGTTGTTGTTTTATAACGAGCTATACTTTGATAAAAAATAATTAACAAAAGAAAAATAGTCAAATATCGCATTCCTATTATTTTGACCATTGGTACTTGTGCATATGAGGTTAACACTATGTCTCCATTGTGAGATTTAATGAGGATTTAGCCCTCAGACGAGATTTAACGTAGTAGTAGTTTTAAGTTAAAACTTCGTTAAACCCTCAATAATATTGATCAATAAATACAATTTCTTGGGTGTGGATACATAATATACAGTTACGGACATAGAAATCTAGCCGATTAAAAAAACATGTATTTTCGTATTTACATATAGGGGTGTTTTTTATATTTTGGTTAGTTTTAAAGACAAATTATTAGTATTTACATAACTTTTGTTTTAATAAATCAAGAAGATATTATTTTAAAAACTAGAAATTCAGAAAATATGTTTTATGATAATATAATGCAGAGTCCGCTTCCTATAAATCTTTTACGCGCTGCGACATAAAATTTATAAAATTAAAAAATCCTCTAGAACTCAATTCGACACAAGATATGCATTGGTAGTCATTTTTGCTAGCTATTTAGGTCTTCATGATATGCCAAAGGCTCACGATAGGATTTTTGGTTCCCTCTTATGAAGAAGAGAGATTATTTTCCCCAAACCATTAACGAATTTTTAAAACTTTTCTTTTAGCAAATGTTCTTTACAGTTTTGATAATTTTTCTTAAATTCGGGAGAATTATTCGGAATATAGTACCATTCGTAAAATTTTTCAAACTACATATTATACTTATTTACCACGAATAAAAAGCCAATTAAGAATTAAGAATTCACATCATGCAATTTCGCTCCTGGCAACTTCCTTTTATCTGTGTGCACTTCAATGTCCGCAACCGCATTTATAAAATCATACATAAGCAAACGTCAAATATGTATTAAAAAATGTGAACGTCAAACATGTCTCGTGGTGACAATGGTGACGGTTAATGTTTAGCAGCTGGATTTATTAAATCTGAATAGGTAAATCTTTAAATGGAGACATAGTATAAGGCCTAGTGTAAGCTCCAACCTACCGAGAGTGAGGGTATCAGCAATAAGCTAATATTGGAGAGTCAATTGAAAACTCCGAGCATGCTGTTTTTGTCTACTCGACTAGGGTCACCACTTGTCCGAACCTTAAAAAGTTTATTAAAATTTTTCTAATCTTGCCTTAATCGCGTTGATTTAAGATAATTTTTTTGTTGAGGGTAATACTCATATAAAAAATTTTTCGGACATATATGGTTGGAAGAAAATCCGTTAAAAAATTGCCAAAGACCAAGTTAAAACTTAAAACTTTTGCAATGAACTATACTTAAAAAAGTAAACGTTAAATAAACAAAAAAAAAAAAAACGTAGCAAAAATCGTTAAAGTGTCGCATCCCTAATTACACCACTATACATGAGGAAAATTGAATTTGATCTCAATAACAAAGCCTTTTAGTTTTGAATCCATAGATTTGTCATATTTTTGTAATATTTGTATTCGACCCCAACCGCCGCTCAGGAATACCCATGAACCGCTACAAGCTTTTTCTAAGTGGTTCACACCGCTGAACCGAACCGCACCTTTTTTTTGGGATAGTTTGCAGCCCTGGTAAAATGTTGAATAAACCAAAAGTCTTATGCCCGGTTTCACCAATCAATTTTAAAATTTATCAGACTCTTAAATTTAAAATAGCAAACTGTCCTATAAAAATTCTGTTATTTTATATTTAAACTTACACTATTATTTATTTTGCTCGTAATTTTGTATTTCCATGAGCCCCAATAATTCTGAAACCAGCTTCCAATCTAACCAATTTTTTGATTTGTTCTAGGTACAGGATTTACCCTTTTATATCATGCCTATATCCAATTTGTGTAAAACTTAATGAAAGGAGTGTTGATCTGTATAAAGTTTCCTTGCTGTTCCCTTCTATCGTTTTGAATTCTGACAAGCAGCGAATAGCGATCTGTCTTTACAGAGTTCAATTATTCTCCCTCTACATTATCCTAACCAAAGTAACTTTGACAAAACAGCAGTTAAATCTGCTCATATTGAGTTACAGCGTAGATTTCAGTTCGAAAATATTACACAAAACGGCAACAGTTACATTATTTGGTTTTAGTTACCAGCTCATGTGTTGAAAGAAATATATTTCGCTGACTGACGCAGATTTAATGTTTTTTATAAGCTTTTATTTAACTTGGTCTATATGTATGTAAGTTTGTTTATTTGGGGCAAATATTGTAATCAATTTTTTACCAACGTCCGGATGACCTAGAAACTTGAAACTTCACAGTTGGCTCAAAACCCCATCACAATGCAAGACGAAAGATTTATTTATTCGATAGGTGACGCAGGAGTCGAAATACTCTTATTTATCTCTAAGGACGTAAGGACGTAAAATAGTCCATTCTAATTACGCGCAGAAAAAAGACAGCTAAAAATATTTCTCTCATATTTGGTAATTATATACAAATCATGTGTTCAGAAAAACACTATTAGTTAGCATAACTTAACTCTTTTCTCAGTGTATAACCAAATCATGTGTTGAGAGAAATTTATTTAGCTGACGTTTTTCTGGATGTACAGTTAAAGCTCTACCCAGAATTGCAGCAGACTACGGTAAAACGGTATTTCAAATGGCTCATAATTGCGGTAGCAGCATTTTTACCGCCAACGTTTTTCGGTTGATTTTGATGTATGTATTTCTATTTTTACAGCTCAGCGGGGATGGCACAATATTGATTGAGTGTTGATTGTAGTAATTTTTATTATTTTCACGAGTTTGGCTACAGCTGTTCACTTACCGTCGACCGCTCTACCGTCGTACGCTGTAATTCTGAATGTGGCTTTGCTTGCATTTTTAGACTGATCCATGTTTTTGAGGTAATATATTGTTTTAAAAAAAAAATAGGTACTTATCACGGTAAGTTTACTCAACTTCAGCTCGTCTACTTTGACGAAAAACGTCAGAGAATTGAATCAACATCGATTTCGGTTGTTTCTAGATAATCCGCTTACAAAACTCAGAAAGGCTGCGGTTGTTCGTTTCGAAATGCCGCGTAATTGCAAACGCCTTGGGTCCCTAGGGACAGGATTTTGTAAATTTTTTTCGACATTATGATTTTTGAAATTTGAAACCGCGAGCAGGCTCATATTTAATAAGAAATTGAGCCTGATTAATCAGTAATAATCAACTCAATTGTTAAAACAACTTGCAAAATCTTGGTATCAGCAGAGTAAGGAGACTTTAGCTTATTTATGTTTCTTTCTTTAGCACTCCACTTTGTTAGGCGCATATTAAAAAAAAAAAATTTTGCTTAATTTGAGAAAGAGAGAGCTGATTTGGGCATACTATTCGACCATATCGGGTTGTCGCTTCTATATAAACCATTTTTCTAAATATAATTCTTCGCAAATAGTCACTTGAGAGATTGAAAGCTTCCAATTTGTAATTTCTGCTTAGCAGAATAG